TTGGATTTTTTTAGAATTTAAACTATTTTTAGAATTTCCAATAATAGATATAAACATATTTTTATTTGTATTTTTCGATAAAAACTTGGTATCATACATTTCAATTTTTCTCTTGGTATCTAATATATTCCATGTTAGAAAACATTTCAAATGTTTTTAGTTTTTTTTTTTTTTTTAGAATATTTCATACAACAATTCTTCGAGTAACTTAGAAACTTTATCTTCCAACAATTTTTACATCATTTTTTTGATAAAGATTGTATCCTTACAACAAAGATAACTTTGAATATTTCATATTTTCTACTGCTGTGCCATTCCTCTCCCTTAGAATTAAAGTAATAAATTCCAAAGAGACCGTTAATGTCAACTATAAAAAATTAAAATAATATATTAAAAAAGAAGTTTATTTTCCTATATTTTTTTCAGATATTTATCTTTCTACATTTGTAAATTAATTCCATAATTTTCTAGAAATGGTGTAATCGTATCTTGCTTATAATGAAATTTTACGACATCACAAAGTGTAAAGAGTATTCTTTAATTTTCTTTTTTTTTTCTTTCTTAATTTTATTTTCGTTTTGGATTTTAACATTTTGAAAATCAATTAAATCAAGCCTTAGGATATTTTTCCTTTCTCTCATTAGATTCAATGCAATTTGAGACAAGATAGTGGCAGAAATTCAATTCCAGAGTGGATTGAATTCCATTAATTACTTTGCTGAAAATAGAGTACAATACACTGACTTTATTACAAGTAGAAATTGTAAATAATTCATAAAATATTATCTAAAATAGTTTTTTTTTTCAATTAAAAAGATCCTAAATTATTTTTTAACAGTGGATGAGATGACTTTTTTAATTTTATTTTTAACATTGTTCTGTAGAGAAATTTTAATTATACAAATGTAATTTTGTGTTTTTTAATGAGTGGAATGTATTTAGTTTTTTTTTAAAAATTTACGTTTTATCTAAAAAATTTGTTAAAATATTATAAATTTCTATTGAAAACTGAGTTTTTAAAATAAAGATATAATCATTTTGATAACAATTTTCTTATTATTGTTGTAAGAGATAATATTTTTTAGAATTTATAATAGGCATTTTTTAAATTCATAATGGAAAATATTATCAAAAAATTGCAGTTGTTTTGTTTGTAATTAATTTTTAACAGGTTTGATTATAAAATTTTATTTAAAAAACAAGAAAAGACTGCTTCAATAGCCACAAACACTTCTTAGCCACGTGATTATTGAAATGTATTATTTTTATGTTATTTATCCTTATTTTAAATCAAATTAACATATTTTAATGAATATAAATATTTAAAATATGGAAAAATCTGTAAAAATTAATTTAAACTTCTTAAAATGTAGATGAATTTTCTCTTTAAATATTCTAAACCTAGACTCTAACTCTAAGTACAAGTATAGAAAATACTTCGAGGGTAGATTTATAGGTTTATGAGCTTATTTAAAACATTATTTTGTAAATAATTTAATAATTTTTATTTAATTGTTTAAAATAGGTAAAAGGTTTTATCCTACAATCCAGGAAAAATTATCATTCAAGGAAATCTTTTATTTGTAATTCTTAAGTTAGGAATCTTGTCAAGGCTTTATATTGTGTGTATGAGTTAATTTCCGTTCAGGATAAAGTCCAAATTTATTTTAACTCTTTAATAAATGTGAAAAAATATATTTAGTTATAATTAGGTGTATATAAAATTTTCTACATTTATCTTATACAATATAAGAATTAATATGCGAAATAATGTGCAAAGCATGGAGAAAGAATATGCAACAATATAAAGAATAATATAGAGATAAATGTGCAAAATGTGGAGAATAATATGCCACGTTATAAGGAATAATATAGCGAATGGTATGCAAAATATAGAGAATAATATAAAGAATAACGTATAAATTATAGAGAATAATCATAACAAAATTTTATACATAAAAATCTTTATATTTAATTCAAAAAACATGTGATTTCCAGTTTAAAAACAAAAAATTCTATTAAAACTTAACAATAGTACAGCTATTCTAATTAAAAAAAGAAAAATATGACAATTTTATATTATACAATTACATTATTCTGTAGATCTTATCTACAAAAAAAAGTCCATTTATCTAAGAAGGAAAAATTTTTATATAAAAATAAATATAATGTATTTAATAAATTTTTAATAAAAATAATCCCTTTAGACATTTTTGATAAAATTTTTGAATCGTTAATAAAACTTTTAAAGATCTAATTTAAAATCAGATAATTGTTTATACAACTGTTGAATATATTTTTTAGAAAGTTTTCCTGTATTCCTTGGTTGGTGAATAAGCACGTATTTAATTTATAAGGAAGTATTAATATAACCTGAGGAAAATTTAATTATGCTACTAAAAATTACGTCAAGTTAGTAAGTATTGAGTTGGAACCTTCCCAATTGTATATATTACCTTCTTTTTTTATTTTGCTGGACGTTTATACACAATTATATAGGAAATAATATCAAAAATATAAAGAATAATATAGAGTCTAATGTGCAAAAAATGAGGAATAATATACAGAAGAAAATGCAACAAATATATAGAATATAATATATGGAATAGCATGCTACAATATAAGGAATAATATAGACATGGTATGCAAAAATATAAAGAACAATATAAGGAATAATATGAGGAATAGCATAATATAATGCAATGAATAATGTGTGGAATAGCGTGTAAAATAGCGTGTAAAATTTATAGAATAATGTGCAACAATACAAGGAATAATGAAGAGAACAATATAAAAAACGTCATAGATAATAATATACTGAGTACTATACGGAATAATATGAAAAACACGGGAAACAATATGCCTAACTTTATAAACACATTATATACATACAAAACAACATTCTAACTAATTTCCCTCAGGTAATGCACATATATTAATTTACTTAACTAATTATATACAGGTTTCAACAACACAATTAAATTCTAATTAAAAATACATGTACAGTACAGTATATAAATTATTCCCGGGTGATCACCAATATTCGGAAATTGTAAAACAACATCTTGAGCCTCTTTCCTTACTAAATTACGTTTTTCTTTTGTTTAATTCTAAGAAATTTACAAAGTTTCTAACCTGTATATGAATTTATAAAAAAAAATCAATTCTAAAAAAATATTTCCTACATTGTCACTTACTCAACCGAGCAGTATCAATTAGTATCAGGAAGTAAGACGAGAACTTCAAACAATTATTTAATTCTAAAATAAACTAAAATTTTAGGTATTTTTTAAAAGAATTTTTAGTCCTTAAAAAAATAAATTATATTATTTTAAAGTCATTGAATCGATAGATTTATGTAGCTTATCTGGAGTAACACGATAACATAAGCTGGAGTAATGGTTCTATCTATAAATTTTGGATAATAAATAAGATAATAGTGCAATAATAATGTTATTATATTACACATTGACCTAATTTATTATTGAATACATTTAAATACATTACTCACCGGTTCGTTTATATGATAAGTAGATTTTTTAGACCACAACTTGCATAATTTATGAGAACACATAACAAATGGGATCCACTCTAAGAAATTCATTCATAAAAACACCCCTGTTGACTTTATAGATGTTAAATATAAGTCCTAGATCTGTTACGAAGTGTAGAGGGTGCCAATGAAGCGTAACTAATGAAGCGAAGGTTGCAAGAGATCATTTGACATTCACTAGACTATGTAGTCACATTTAGTGTAGTTTTCAACACTCGATACTCCTTCATATCAGGGAATTTTTATGAAACTTCGACGTATAATCTCATTCGTAGTGCTTATCTAGTCGTTTGTGTCAGTATAGTTGTTCGCAGGTGTAATAACAGGTGGGTTAACTGGCTTGCTTCAACCGTAGCTGACAGGAAACAATCCTTTTATCTGCATTCGATCATCGTACCCTGCCTCATCCTGACCCCTTCCGCCGTCTGTAAGTACTTTTATTTTTTAAATATAACAAAAATCTACCCCTTTTATACCTTAAATTTATTTTAAAAGCCTTAAGAAACTGTACACGTGTTTAATATTTAAAGGTATGTAAAACTACACCTCTTAAAAACGCATTGTATCCTTTTCATATTATTGATACTTCATAAGTAATTGTCCTTCACCCTAAAGACTTCTGACCCTATACAGTAGTAGATAAGGCCGCGAGGAGAGTAATAATTAAGGTCACGCGCTCACGTGACTGCAGAATTCGATTATTATCGCATTAAATTTTACTTTAGTAAGTAATTTAAACACGTACGAGCTGGGGTTATTAACTTAAAGCTGAATTTGTAGTTACGTAACCGAAGGGGGTGTCGGCAGAGGCAGGAAGTTTGCACCGGCCGTTTCCGGTGACGTCACGCCAATTTGGTCATTCACACGTTTAGCACCCGAGGTAATTCCCATTTCGGCGCGGTCATTTGCTTGATTTTAACAATCAAACAGGACGTAAGTAATTTTCAATACGAAAGAGTTAAAGCTGTCATCCCCCCTTTTGTGTTGCTAGAATGCGTTAATAAGAACGGAAACAGTAGCATAAAAATGTAAAAAATAATAGAAAATTTATCACTTTTTACTTTAAAATACAGAGGATATTCATTTATCAGTAACACCAGTTAATTTTTTTAGATATTTGATATCCTAGTTTCAAGATAAATTTTAAAAAATATATATCAAAAGTTCAAAGAATTGCAATTTTGCTTCCAGGAAAACTTTATACAGTTTCTTCGTTAAACTTTCTCCCAATAAATTATATTCACACACCAAAGAACATCATAGAAAAGTGGAATTGAATGAATTGTAAGTACGAGCAACCGTCCATAAAATTGACAAGAATCAAATGAAGAATGTACCAAGAAGAAGAAATTCTTGAATATTTCTCTTTCTTTGCAAAATATTTTAAATTTATTAAGGAATCAAAAAGAAATAATTTCCAAAAACACACAAAAACAATTTAAATCACCTGATTTGATCCTTTTTGGATGACTTGAACGTCCAAAGATCCTGTCAAGACAGCGTACCAATTTGTACCTTTGTCACCTTGGCGAAATACTAAAGAAAAAAATTTTAAATTCGATTAGAATTAAAATGAATAATTAACATCTAAAAAAAACATTTAATTTCATTCCAAAAAATAAAAAAAGTTTTAATTTTATACGTGGCGCCATCTGTTATTCAATTATTTTATTAACTTTGAAACTTTTAAAAAATCGCGTGCCATCCCCGATTAAACGAATTGCTTATTATTTTTAGGCAATTTTAATTAATAAGTTGTCAAAATTGTCTAAAATATTACAAGATAATTACACATATTTGAATTAGGAGTTAAAATCTTTTCTGAGAACATAAAATTTAGATTTTGCCAGTGTTATCTCTTAGAAATTCACACTTAATGATGATGTTACTTGATACCAAGTGCAACTATCATTACGATAATATTATATAATTCCTTAAATAATTACTATACTTCTTAGGAAATATAATTTATTTTAAAAATTTTTCAGTTCTAAGATCTAAAAAAAA